GATAACTTCCGAATGTTGATACTCGGAAATTGATGCATTTATTGTGGTGTATTCTCATATATGGCTGGTAATATTTATTTCCTTTTATTTTCGACCCCGTCGGAGACACGTCATTTCGCACTGCATTTTGCTCGGGAATCGGTTGAGGTTTCCGCAACCGCTGAAGCTGAAACGCTCGCACATCCCTGTTTCGTTGTCATAGTACCTGAAAGAATGGTTTTCTTCAAACTTGTACTTCTTGGGGTTTACTGATGACATGAATAGCCTTCAACTTTTTTACTGACCACATAATCCTGGCATGACGACAGGTGCCTGTTAAGGGTGGTAATCGGCAAATGTCTATAGGTGGAGTTGTTGTGGTGGTCGGTGGAGGAGGAAGAGTCGGTAAACTGATTGGAGGAGCGCCTCCATTTAGAAGGCTCAGTAATGGAGCTAAAGGTGATAGTGGTGTTGTAGTAGTGGGAGGTTCTGAATGGCGTGAGTTTAACGTTAAATTTCATGAGCCATTCAAGGAAATTGTGTCAGAAACATTTCTTGAAAATTGAACATAATATCCTCACGCATTGTAATTGTAGGAGAAGGAAGGGCTGGAGGAATTCCCACAAATGGAGGTGTAGTGGCTAGCTAAAATGTCACAGATTATTTGTAAATCGTCATTTTTCATTTTGTTTCCAAGAAAGTGGGATATGCGGTCCGCAAGCCTTTTGACTTTTCTTGCTATGAAGTTTGACGTGCTAGATAGGAGAACCATAACAAAAATACCTGTGTTGCTGGTGGAGGCGTTAATAGTGGTGTTGTAAGTTCCGGCCCAACGTCGATGCGTGTCCTTGGGGTTGGTGCAAGAACGAGCAAGCATTGTGCTACCTGAAGTAGGCAACTTCATACTGTAATGTGGTTAAAACTGAATCGTTCGTGTAGCAAAGTAAAAGAGTACTCTAAATACGAGATAGTCGAGGGAAATTTTGCCCTTTTCTTCGTGTCCTCTTGATTTTGAGTTTTGACAAAATCAAACATTTTCCTTCCCGCTTGCTTGCTTAGATTTACACAAGAGTGAGGTCTACTGAACAAAAGGAAATCAGTCAAGCGAAATATTCAAAACTGTTATGTCTTCCGTCGTCGTCTCCTTTTCATTTATATTTTTTTTCTCAGCAATCAATATTGAAACCAAGTTTCAATGTAGGGCGGAAGTGGTGTAGTGGCAAGTGGCACGCTTACCACGCGAGCGGTCCGGGGATCAAATCCTGGGTCGTGAGTCGCCCGGGCCAACCAAGCCTTCCATCCCTCCGGGGTCGGTTAATTGGTACCAGACTTGTCTGGGAGGATTTTAAACTGAGCTTTCCATCCCTCCGGGGTCGGTTAATTGGTACCAGACTTGTCTGGAGGGATAAAAACACTGACTTGTACATCGGCTGGCCCCCGCAAGTCATTGTATAGGCCACATCGCATTCAAACGCCACTACGAATGTACAAATGGAAGTAGAATGCGTGCCGCATCCCAAGACGGGATTGATCAACGGCAAAGCTTTATCCTTTATCCTTCCTTAAGTTTCACATGTACGTTTAATGGTCTAGGGACTGTGCTGCAATTATGGGACAAGAGTTTGAACAAAACCTCCCTTCCGTGTAACCGTGCGACGCACATTCTTCAGCCCGAAGTCACGCGGTTCATGAATTGAGCGTAAAAAAACGAGTTAGATGGAAAAAATACACGTGAGCTGAAATAACAGCTGAAATGAGTGCCACTTCTGCATCGATTTAATAAATGAATCTCGAAATTTACGATGCTTCTAGAGCTGATAATTCGCATGAATGGTTTCTCGAAATGTGGAATCTGACGTAAAAAAAAACGACTGTAACTGGGAAGGTGAAAATGTTTTTTGGATAATATGTGATAGTTTGGTTGGTGTAGCACGTACTGGTCCTGCAAGAAATGACATTTTTCGGTTGGAGCGCATATGAGGGGATTCGCAGGACGTAGAGCGAGGGCTTGTGCGGTCGTTAATGTGAAGATACCTAACAGTATCAATATTGACGGCAATAGCATAGTGGATTGCGAATGTGTGTGCTGATTGGTGAAAGTGTGGATGTACGATCTGTTCGGTTGGGAGAAATGAGATGACCCGATTTGTCAGCGACAAAGACGGGATTGCGGGAGTAGTTCATTTCGACTGGTGCTTCGACTCATCGCGTATTTTTTGCTGTTCCTTTTTTTTTTGTTCACATCCCGTACGGAGCATGTCTCATTTCCCTAATCGTTTCCAAGATCGCTTTTCGCGCGAAGTTCTTTTGCTGCTAAGGAGAGCAGAACATGTAGGTGATAACGACCACATAACGAGAGTTTATCGTTCTCTCTTGTCGGGATTCGTGTCGGCTGGAGATTTATTGATGTCAATCAAGGGAAATGACATTCTCTTTGATGCTCATTTTCACCCCCTTTTTCGACTGATTGACGTATTTCTGCTCCTTCACTTCAAGAATATTGAGAGATTTATGACATGGGGTTCTCCCAGAATGTGGGAGTTGGGCTGTTTTGCTGGAAGGCTTGCCAAGCTTTCGGTTCGAGATACGAATGTCCGCACCGTCATCGACTGAGAACAAGGCCCTTTATTGACAGTTGACGAGCGCGTGATTACACGCAGGAGATAGTTACAGCGGCACTGTGACTGCACTAAAAGTGGAAGCGCGGGGAGCGAACATAACACAAAGGGTTGTCACCTGTGAACTTTTCCGTCTTTGCCGAGTAACTATGTTTGAAGGGAAGTAAAATCTTAATGCATCGCAAAAAATAGTCAATGTAATAACAAAATACTAATTCAGTAACCCCTTATCTGAAGAGAAGCACAACTCATGAAATATGCAAAGTCACCCATATATATTTCACTTTCGGGGGTCACGTCCGCGTTCTTTTCAAGGTTGATTACTAATAACTGGGGGTTTGTACGAACTTGTATTCATTTGTCTATTTATTTGTTTATTTATTTAGTCTAAAGAGACATGCCGTCAGTTGTGGCTCAAACACTGGGCAACGCCCATCAAGTGAAGTTTAAAAAAAGAGAAAAAAAAAACCGAACATAACAAAAACAATTATTAAGCCAAGTTGAATAAGTTACACCGGAATCTTATGTTTCGTTAACAACTTGCAGGACAATTTGTTATAGATGACAAGCTGAAAGATTAGCTTACCGAGACGCTCAGCGCTGTATTCAAAATCGTGGAAACAGACATGGATTCGCTGCTTCTTGTGCTGGACAATGAAGATCCTGAACTCAGTGAACTAGTCATCTTCACCATACGCTCGTATGTGGCCCTTTTCAAGGACAGTTGTACAGACGAGGTAAGAGTAGATCAATTTTTTGAAAATTTTGAAATTTTGAAAATTGAAAAGTTTTTGAAAGAATCAAAGCATGTTGTGACACTTTCCATTCAACTGATAATTGCGGCAGAGTCTGCCTTTTTGTCATCTATCTCATCCAGTCGTGTAATTGTGATTTACATCCACGCGACTGTAGCTAGCCGCGCAGATATGCTATGATACTTGCCCTTTTTTTTCCTTTTTCGCCCACATTCTGTATCGAATAAGATTGATTTCTATCTGGCGCCTTGTGTAGCCGTCGATTTTCTAGAAAGCGACCAGCATGTTAACGAAGATCGTGTCGGTATGCTTACGACGTTTCGTGATCAGCGAAGAACTGGACGTGGATGGATCGGGTGAAGATGAAATCGAATTTGCTGAGTACAGAAAAGAACTGCCGATGGGTGATAATCTCAATACAATCGGAAAACATGGTGAAGAGCGAAATCTTTTTAGAAAATGTTAGGAGTAAATAGTATTTCCAAATTTCAGCGCTGCGACCTCATAGTAGCACCGCTAGAAGTTCTAGTTGAGGAAGTGGCGGCCAGTGGCGGTGGTACAGCAATGCCAATTGCACGATTAGAAGCGATTGTTCAGTTGGTACAATGGCTTGGGGAGATTTATTCCAGTAAGTTATTTAGTTGTTACAAAATTTCTTCTAAACGAGCCTTCAGTCTTCAGTAATGTCAACAGTTTAATAGCAGATGTTTTCCATCTGGAAGTTGATTACTAGCAGCATTGTGTTTTGCAGCGCAAAATTCGTTTGCAATATGAAGGACAGGGATGGATGGGTCGCGGTGCGCTGTTACCAGTCAATTTGCTGAACTCTATGCAACTGGACGGTCGCTCAGCTACTGTCCATGTCTTGTACTTCGAGGTACAGTGGTCATTCCTTCTACAAATAATTCAAGTCTTTTTTAGTTTGCTTTTTAACTGTTTCAGTTACAATGTCATTTAGTTATATAGTAAAAGTTCGTACTCGTTTATTCTGAGACCGTGTACAAAATTTCGGTATTAGCTCCGTTCACCCGATATGTCGGTTAACGTCAGTTGTATCGCTTTCAGATCGCCCTGTCGAGGTTACGAACGCTGCTTATTGGGCTCGCCGCAAGACCTGTGAACCACAAGTTGCGAGGCACAGCGCTTCCTGCGAACGAGAAGGGTAATTGCTGCTAATTTGGTGACTTACGGTGAGCGATTTTTAGAGCAGTTTCGGTTGCTTTTTTCATTTTTTTTAATTTTTCCTTCTAGGGGGATAGCATTTCGAGTCGCCCGTGTTCGAACTCGCATTGTCTACCTTTTCTGCCGATTTGTTAAAGCTCACAAGACGGTGCTTAGTCCTCTAGTTTCTGAGGTCAGATATTCTTTTTTTTTTGCTTTTTTTTGAAACTATTACATCATTTTTGTCGAAATTTATCCCTACTTATCGTAGGTTTGTCTCTATTTTAATTCATATTTTCATACCCCCTTTTTTGGCCTCCTGTGGGGTGTCTTTTATCCGTAATGTTCATGCGATTGCCACTTTTGATATTCTTCGATGTGCGTTCAAAACCAATAATTAAATAACAACAAATAGAAGGGTCTCGTCCATTAACGAGGACATGTGGTGATAAGTTCATATCACCTGAAGTACTACCGCAGGGAGGCTTCGGAATGGGTGTAGAAACGGAAGCGAAATCGCTCACGCACCCCTGTAAATTTCCTCTTCCGTAATCTTTGGAACTTCTATAGGTGTCGGCAAGTGTCGCACCACATCCCTTGCTGGATGAGAACCAAATTAGGTGTTAGTTTTCAGGTGATCACCCGTTTAGCTCCGTTGTTAGCGATGTCACCACAGTCTGACCAGTTGCTCACCGCCGACGATCAGGCATTCATTTTCGAAGCAACCGGAACGCTTATAGTATTCGGTGAACTTGGAGTGGAACAAAAGGTAATCATTCACAAATCTCCGGCTATTTGGCTTGCACTATGAACTTTCAGTCTCTTTACATCGGCGAACTAGCGAACAAGCTTGGAGAGCGTTTTCTTGCTGCCATCACGGAGCTGCAGGCAGCTCGAGCTGCAGGAGACGCAGCGAAAGTCCAAATGATCCAGCAGTTCATGACCAACATAGTTGGTTACTGTAGGTGAGTTGCTGGCTGTGAAGGTCTTTATAAGAGTCTAGCGTCACTTTGACCTAGTTGTGGCTGTCCGAGTGTCGGAAATGTCTGGCTACCATACTTATCGCCAGAATTCTTGTCCCTTATTTGCATATATTTTTATTTGTCCATATAAGAAATACTTTCCGAAGGT